GGGCTATATTATTAACCATAAGGTCAGTATTGGAAATTAACTCATATTGGTAAAAATTTAAAATCTGAATAAATATACTGCATATATTCACTAATCAGAGCAGCAGGGAATTAGTGCTGATAAGTCTTATTTCTTTGATAAATTTGGTAGTAAAAAATACAAAACTATTAAAATCGCTTGTGGTATTGTCACATTCCCTGGGACACAGTGAAGACATAACAATTATATTGCTTTTTTGTCACCGAATGATGACATCACTGAGGCCTGAGTATAGTCTCCAGGTGCGTTCTAAAATAACATAAAATAAAAATTCTATTTTTAGCTAGTGATCTGGAAGTTGCACTCAAATTCTTATTTTATTATTCAGCTACGGTTACATATTTCACACGCCCTGTTAATGTCAAACGCATTTTTGGCATTTTGACAGCACCTGCAACAGTGCACTTTAAACTTCATGTTTAGACAAATTCAATTTGATGTAACTAAACATTCCACTTAGTTAATAAATATAATATTACCGAATAAGCAAAATAATGCCTGTGTTTGACTGGCAATGGAGACAGTAGTTTCTCAGTCTATTGGCCATGAAAGGTGTAAATAATGGGATTCTGTCCTATTTTAGGGATAGGGTAACGTGTTTCTTATTTTTAATTACTCTCTCTTTTTTTTACAGACATTTAAATTGGCACCAAATGCAGCATTTGTTTAGTACTGGGCATATCTCCATTAATACAGCTTTCAGTTTTAGGCACATGTCCCATTTTATATACTTGGCCACCAACTCAATTTAGTAAACAACATCACTTTGCATCTTCAGTATCCAATGCAATGTAAGATGGACATCTTCATCCATTAAGCCCTGTTAAGCAGAAACGAAAGCATTTGAAAAGCCTTTCAACAGGTTTACATACAATAGATTGCAAAATCAGTAAGTTACAGGAGTGAATTTTACACATAGCCGTATTCTGGGAGAGATCTTACCAGGGATCTATATAGTACATTCACTGCCTCTCTATATCCTCCTGGAGATCTGCTCTGTAGAACTGAACACAATACTCTAGGTGAGATCTTACCAGGGATCTATAAAGTACTATCACTACCTCTCTATATCCTCCTGGAGATCTGCTCTATAGAACTGAATACAATACTCTAGGTGAGATCTTACCAGGAATCTATAAAGTACTATCACTACCTCTCTATATCCTCCTGGAGATCTGCTCTATAGAACTGAACACAATACTCTAGGTGAGATCTTACCAGGGATCTATAAAGTACTATCACTACCTGTCTATATCCTCCTGGAGATCTGCTCTATAGAACTGAACACAATACTCTAGGTGAGATCTTACCAGGGATCTATAAAATACTATCACTACCTCTCTACTTATCCTCCTGAAGATCTGCTCTATAGAACTGAAAACAATACTCTAGGTGAGATCTTACCGGGATCTATAAAGTACTATCACTACCTCTCTATGTCCTCCTGGGATCTGCTCTATAGAACTGAACACAATACTCTAGGTGAGATCTTACCAGGGATCTATAAAGTACTATCACTACTTCTCTATATCCTCCTGGAGATCTGCTCTATAGAACTGAACACAATACTCTAGGTGAGATCTTACCCAGGATCTATAAAGTACTATCACTACCTCTCTATATCCTCCTGGGGATCTGCTCTATAGAACTGAACACAATACTCTAGGTGAGATCTTACCAGGGATCTATAAAGTACTATCACTACCTCTCTATATCCTCCTGGAGATCTGCCCTATAGAACTGAACACAATACTCTAGGTGAGATCTTACTAGGGATCTATAAAGTACTATCACTACCTCTCTATATCCTCCTGGAGATCTGCTCTATAGAACTGAACACAATACTCTATCTGAGATCTTACCGGTGATTTAATTTGTTTATTTTTTGCTGGTATTTATAGCTATAAGTGATAAAAAAGTTAAAACTCTCTTTTATTCTAGCGCCTCACAACTCCGCAGGCTCGACTCCACCTCCTTGGCTGAGATAATCATAATTGATCATCTCAGCCAATCCATCACACAGCGTTGAACCAAACAGCATCTCCCCATAGAGATGCATATCTATAAGGAACGTTCAGCGCCTCCATACAGGTGGTGGAGACACTGAACGTCAGTGCTGCATGAATCACCTTTAATGGTCGTCTGAGTGACTGCCAATATAGGTGTTACTAGGCAGTAATGTAAACATTGTCTTTTATCTAAAAAAGGCAGCGTTCACATTGAAAAACCTAAAGCACAGGTGACACCAGGAATACTTCATAAAGCTGTAGTTGTTCTGGTGCCTATAGTGTCCCTTTTAAGTTAAACAATGAATTGTAGTGAACTTTTGGGAAATATAGTCAAGCTGAGACTGCAGCTGGCTCGTAGATTTTTTTTTCCAATTTGTTAGTTTTTGCCTAAATGCTAGTTTATGTTTCAATTCATTACAGTTAACTGTAACCTGAATGTGCTCCAATGGATTCTGGACTGTAATCCCATTTATGAGGGCTATTTTTATTAATCCGTATCTTTCTCCTCTTTTTCATTCTGCATATCTGGTTTTTAACCGGATGAATGCCCGTTTCAGTCACTCGTATAGATGTCCTTACCTGAGCAGCGTTGAGCAGGTGAGTTCTGTAAATCGAAACAATTTCCTGGTGTCGTTTGTTTGTCTCCTGCAAAAGACAGCACGAGTTATAGATTAAACGTGGTAGTTTAGCCAAGGCTAGTCTAAAGAAAAATCTGATGTATGGTTATTGTAGGGTGAACCAGTTCTCTTCTACTCTAACTGTGGCTGGGAAATGTAGTGATCAAGGTATTTCATCACATTCTATGTGACTGCATGTGCTGGGATATTGCTTGCATCTCCTTCAATTGCATCTAGTTTATATACACTGCCACGAGGCCAGGCAGGCTCAGCCCATGACAGACTGCCATACAACCAGCTATTGGAACTCAAAGAAAACATAGCGGATACATCTGTACACCTAGATCATGACAAAGTACGCTCTGTTCAAAATAAGATCGTTAAAGCATATAAACAGGTAATATCCCATGAGCTCACATGGTCAGGAAAAAACTGGTAAAGCGGAGGGAGGAGAGAAGGGAGAATGAAAAAGAGTCACAAGAAAAAATGAGATGGAATGCACAAAGCCATGAATCTAAACACATTGGGAGAGCGTGGTACCACCGGTATGCATTGGTAGACTTAAACATGAAAAGTACATTGTGAAGCAAACAAAGCACAGAATGGGTGCCGCTAGGACACCCCTAGAACAAGATATTGTTTTACTTGTACAAGTAGTGTAGTGATGTTGTTTTTTTTTCCCTTCCCTATTTATTGTGGAGAGGGACTGATAAGTATCCTTATTCTAAGAGTGAGCAGCAGCTCTCTGCTTGCCATTTCCCACAGTACAGTTTAGTTGTTTTTTTAATTTTTTTTATGCTGGGTATCAGCTGACTTTAGTTAAAGGGAAACTATAGCGCCTGTAAAACAAAGTTGTGTTCCCGGCACTATCACTTCCTATGATGCTCCCAACCCTCCCCGTGGTGCAGGGTCAAAAACCTCTTCTGTCACTTAAATCAGTCCAGCGCCCATGTCCCTTGGCACTGGCTCGGACTCTGCCACTGCAGGTTCATGGGTGTTGTAGTTCAATGACAGTTGGCCACCCTGGGTCCTAGTCGTTACCTCAAGTTCGGCATTCAGATGGTCGTATTTCCTCTGCAGCTCACGGACTTCCTTTGCCAGTGAATCCAGTTCCTTCAATGATTCCTCCATCTTTATTTTAAAATAAATAAAAATGAATAAAATTTGGTTAAATAAATAATTCTGCACCGTATGCCATTCATGTCTGTATTTGTTTACTCTTTAATGGATTAATGATATTCTGCACCATTTACACGATTCCTATAACTCTACATCAGCTTTTCCTTCATTAACCAAGTTTAAATTTCCATTCAATAAAGCATTTCTAAAGGAGTAACTGTAACAGACTTATACAAACTCATTGGGTTAATATTATTTCTATTAATATCTATATTCTATTTACAGACTTTTTTTTTTTTTCTATTTTTGATTCCAAGCATTTAAACAAAAGATAAAAAATGTTGTTAGACATGGGCATCGTGCATTGCCAATAACTGCCTAAAAAGGTTGACCAGTTGCCCAAGTAGGAAAACCAGCACAATTTAACAAATCGTTTGTCCCACTAATATTGCTAGCTCTTCAAGTATAACTTTGGCATACTTCCCAACAGTTTTGAATTTGGCGGGAATGTCCCGATAACAAGGTCCTGTCTCAATATCCCAATATGTTCCAGGTTAACGGTCTCTAGCGGGTGTAATGTGCTACGGGCACTAGGACCGACTGCTTTAGCAGTGCTCTGTGCCAGGTCTACCCTTAGTGGGGCGTCTGTTAGTAAGCCTGCCCTGCATTCCTGTTGTATATCGAGACAAGACTGACCATTTTGGGTCTTAAGTGATGCACGTGTCGTCATGTCAAGCCCATTTAATCTTGCCCACCTGGTATGTTCGGAGTTCATAACTCCTAATGTTGGGAGGTATGTGTTGGTGTGCATGCCTTTGCTTGACTATAAAAATACTATATAAAAAGAAAGGGAGAAGGATTTAACAATTTTATATATATTTTTTTTAAATGGCATTCCATTCGCACTGCCTGCATTGATGAGCAACAGCCTGTATTAGTACGTATTGTGGTGAAATGCATTTGCCGATTGCTGAGAATTAACAGAATTTCAAGTCTCCAAAAGGGATAAGTATGCCTGTATGAAGGGCCATGATATATGCATATATGTTTTAGAACTCAAAACATTATATGTCACATAGTCCATAGTCATCTAAAGTCTCTGGAATTTGGGCAAACACACAAAGATAAAACCACTCGTTAAAGAGTGCGTTACAAATTTAGGTTGGCTATTTTAACCTAAAATTCACAATTCCTGTGTCCTTTCCCCATCATTTTTGGTTTAATAAATAAACAATTTTGTATTACTGCAAAATGAAGGTAGGGAAATTTTTTTTTAGTTTTTTACTTTAAAAAAAATATATCAATTCTAGTTTCTAATTTTCTACCCTGGTCATATTGTCTGTGCATGGAAACCTTGTATAATATAAAATTAGTATTGCATCCTGGAGACACGTCGGTGGAAAAAAAAGAGTACACGTTACTTTAATGGAAACATTGTAAGCGGTTTTGGACAAAGTGAGGTTTATTCGCTAAATTTACAGTTTCCTTAGCAGTTCCCAGACCTTCTGGTTTAGTGAATAGATCGGAGTATGTTTCACATATGAATGGAACGTAGTAACAGAGCAAATTAAATATCTGATGTTATTTCACGTGTACTCAACCTGTAATGAATATTCCTTGCCTGGCATGCCATAGGACTTGTATAAAGTTATATACAGTTAAAAGCCCAGAGCTAGTGTCAATATAGTAATCTGATATCAATACAGTTGAAGTAATAGTATGAGTGACCTTAAAGGACTGTCACCCATTTATTATTATTTTAGATTAAAGATGACATATTGTATAACCACTTTGTGTGATGTAATACTAACAAATAAGTAAAAAATAAATAATCTTTTCAGTGCATTTTCTGGCTTATCCATATTTTGTGGAAGCAGCCATCTTTAGTCATCAAATCACAAGCACAATTTAGCGAACCCCAAACCATACAGGTATTCAAGAGATAATGTGTTTTCACAAATCCTACTGTCTTGGCCAAACGCAGGCCATCTCAAACATGAACTCTGTGCACTTTCAGACCTTCAAACTATCCATAAAGTTGGCATACAAGAAATGTTTCTGACCGAAGAGGAATTAAAATGGCTGCTCCATGGAGTTTAGGGTAAACCAAGGGATTCAAAGTTAAATTACATGCACTCATTACAAAGATATCCTAACATGGTTATCGGGGCTCGCGGCCCGCACACAAAGCGTGTCTTGTCCTCAAGTGGCCCCAGGACATAATATAAGTCTCCCAAAGAGTACTCTCACCTGGAAAAGCAATGTAGGGCTTGACTTGCTTAATATTGAAAAACTTGCATTTTATTTTAAATAATCATCTTATTTGTGGTGCATTGTTGCTTTAATGGAACACCCCAAGCACCATAACCACTACAATGGGGGGAGTACCCTGTCATGCCCCATTATAAGTAGTCTAACTGGTTTTAGAACGGTTGGAGATCTTACCGGGTGTCCACATGGCACTGCTCGCAGTCTACACTGGGAGCCGGAAGCTCCTCATCAAGTCTTGAATTGTCCATAGCTAAGCCTTGCAGTGGAGCACTGTCTCATTGACTGAGAACATTAGCTGATCGCCCTGAGACAGTGAGCCAAGTCTTTAACCACCAGATATAAGCTTTCAGAGCCTTGTCTGAAGTAGTGCCGGTGTGGATTAGCACCTGGAGAATCCAGATAAAAAGTCAAACTGTTAAAAAAAAAAAAAAAAAAAAAAATTGTTTGGCGGGGCGGAGCCTGGATGCAGAGCTGATCAAACGTGCATCGCCTGGGCTCCACAGACTGGGACTGATAAACTACGAATCACCAGGACCACTCGCCAATCCGACCAGCCACCGACGACTACCCAGATAAGGGAACGACGGTGCATCCAGGGATACCAAAATCCAGCCGTTTCGGCACTGAAAAGCCGTCGTTCAGGCTTGCGGCCTACACAAACGTGGGCAGAGAAGAGGCGGCCACTCTCCAAGCCCTATACCCAGCGGAGTGCAAATAGCTCCAAGCTGTCCCCTCCCCCCCCCTCCCGGACCTGTGGGGGTCATCCCGATCCCCCTCCCCCCCCCCGACATACCCAGCATCAACAAGCCGGCTACAAGAAGCCATCAAGCAACAAGATTAAACAGCAACCATCAAACAAAATGGCGGACACTCCTGACATGGAACAAATTGCGATGTCACTCCAGAGCACATGTGAGAGTCTGCTCCACAACGTAGATAGGCTCTTTACAAACTTCTGGGCAAAGTTAGAGGCCCTCGCCATGGAGACACCATGTCAGAACCAAGAGCACAGCAGAGTGAAGCGGGATGTGAGCAGGCCCCCTCAAGGCGAACTCACACATCAAATGCCTGACACAGCGCAAACTGACCAGACAAGGCCCAAGGCCACCCAGACATCTGCTGCGGAGGCTGAGAATCCCCCGCCGCTGGCGGCAACGCTACAGCAGGAGCACGAGCCGTCCCTTACATCAAAGAGACTTGGCCTCAAGACAGAGGACCCGAACCTCTAGCCCCGCGATGCTGCTCTTCACCACGACCCAGAGCTGGAGAGCATTCAAGCCCAGCTTCCACATGGCACAACCCATGGACAGCCTCCATTCCCCCCCCCCAAGTCTGGGCATTGGCTGACGCTGGAATCTTTGACCAAGCCACCCTTATTCTGACACCATAATACCAGAGAATAAGGCGTAAAGTATTTTCTGTCCCATTTTTTTGTGTTTCATTTCCATTTTTCTGAGACCTCTCACTCTGCTTTTCATATAAACTCTAACAATGCTGTCACTAGGAATCCTGAGAAAACATGCATAATGTAGTTTTGCTTAAGAGTATACAGCCTAGGGGGTTACTCATACTAGCCATGCAGCCACGCCTGACTACTCACATACCTAATCTACTTAATACTATACATGTCTGCTGTACCCTAGGATTGTCCCACAAGTTTTGTTTTTCAACCAGAATTGTATGCCAAGCTTTTAAATATACTGCGATAGGATACAGTAAAACTACTAACTCACCCGCAAGCTAACTACATTGCAGTTATCGTTAACCAATGTTAGGCCTGTTATACCACCTTTGTTAATATTTTTTAAAAATGTGCACGCCCTCATGCCACGAATAAGTTTATATGAATGTCTATAAGTCTATATGCATGCTGTTGTGGCGTATGGAATTGTCATGTACCTACCTGCACAATAAAAATACAGAATTAAAAAAAAATTAAAAAATGTTTGATTACTTACACTAGGGGATCACAATGGCACTTCTGGCACCATAACCACTATAGTGCCCTGTAGTGCTTATGGTCCTTGGAGTGTTCTTTTTTAAGAATGCTTTTAGTGCAGGGAAATAGTGTTGTAGATTTGTAAGCTGCAATATTACACTTTTCTTTCAACCTCTATTAAAATAAATAAATCAACAACTTTGGTCCTTTTTCTGCAATTAATAGCTAACCTTGCCACTCCAGATGTCTGTGAAGTACATTTCAAGTTAATGCCCAGACAGTTTAGATGGTCATATATGTGATGGAAGCGCACTCATCCCTTCGTCCTGGAATCCTGGGTTCTATGCTGGACAAGTCCCAGTACCAAAGAGGACCAAATGTAGAATTTGAATATAGAAAATAATCCAGGCACTCCAACAAATTCCAAACAAGGCAATTTTATTGGAACCACAGAGTAAAAAGCAACGTTTCAACCCCTTAGGGCCTTTGTCAAGCCTAAGGGGTTGAAACGTTGCTTTTTGCTCTGTGGTTCCAATAAAATTGCCTTGTTTGGAATATGTTGGCGTGCCTGGATTATTTTCTATATTCAGACATTTTAGATTGGCTGAGCTTCATGGTAAATGAAATCGGCCAATATCTGCCATGCCAAGATTAGCATTCATTGATCTAGAATCTGAGTGTTTGTGAGAGCAAAGATTTATGTCCCAGTAATTTACCTTCTTGTTTTTCTCCTGCAATTCTCTGTTCAGATCGTCGCATGTTCTCTCCAGACACCGATTTTCTTCTTCACAGTTGTGTGTCTTTATTTTTAGCTCTGCCGCGTCTCTCTCCAGATCTTTCATGCTCTCTTCAAGCTTCATGGACCTATCCCTCTCAGAGGAAAACAGGCCATTGGAGCTCAAAGCTTCTCTGGAGGCCTCTGTAATTTTCTCTTTTAAGATCTGGATTTCCTCCCTGGAACTTTGGAGCTGGACCTCAAGCCTGCTCTTGAGTTGTTCATAATTGGTTAAGCTCTCTGCTTCTCTAGATTTTATTGTCTGTAACTCCTCTACTTTCTGCTCAAGTTGCTCTTTCAGCAGCACCTTTTCCTCGTTTTTATTTTCTAGCTCAAGTTTACACGCTTGATTCTCTTCCCTTATAGATGCCACTGTTTTTTCCAGACTTGCCACCTCCTTTCCATGTTCTTCTATGGTTATGGAGTTTGTGGCTTGATTCTCAAGTTGATCCCTTAGCTCTACAATGTTCCCCATGGCTTGGAAGAGTTTCTGCTTCATCATATCTGTTTCTTTGATCTGTGTGTCCAATTTGTTTGTTACTTCATTAAGTATATTGTTGTGCTCGGTTATTGGTATAATCTGAGTCTGACTTTCTTTGAGCTGTTGATTGTCTTTTTGTAATGCTTCCTTCTGCTTCAAGACCTCACTATATTTCATTACTAGAGTGCCTACGTTCCAATACAGCTCCTCCAAAATGTCCGATTTGAACATCTCCCCTCTATTCATGTGTTCCTCTTTCAGTATTTCAGGAGGGAAACTGTCTCTCAATGTAAGCATTTCATTCTCCTGGGCTGCAAGTCTTAAATTCAGCTGATGGAGCTTTCGTCGTTCTGCCACCAGTTCATCTGTCAAGAGAAGAATTTGTTGCTTGTAGTCTTTGCATTGACCATCCATTTCTTGCCTCAAAGCATACTCTCCCTGTAGACGTTCCTGCAGGGCAAGAAGACCTTCTTCTAAGTTCTGCTTCTCCTGACTGTTAAGGTTCATCTGCGTGATGACTTGGTCATGCGACACTTTGAGACCTGACAACTCAACCTGTAGCTCCTGAATGTTATTTTTTAATGAATCAATGTTGTCCTTGTAATCAGTGCTTGAGTGCTTAATTTCCGGTGTAGCTGTGATATTCAAAATATGAGGAGTTCCTAGTGCTTTACATTCAGTTTTGGTGGCCTGGCCTCCAGAAGAATGTGTAAATCCACTTTGGGAATAAGGCAAGTTTAAGTCCACCTTTTGTATTAATTGATGATAAAGTCCTCCATTTATATTTTTATGTCTTTCCTTGTGCTCACCTACTGTATCGGGTAGACCCAATCCTGAGTCAGGTCTCTCTGATAAACTTACAGACATATTAATCTGACTTTTATCGATACTGGTAAGATATTTCTCCATGTCCGTAATAGTCTTGTTAAAATTCCCTGCGTTTTTTTCTAAAACGTCCCCAGGCACAAAACCCGAGCAACTCTTTAAATTCTCACTTCCAACTTGCAAACTTGAGGTTTTATTCTGTAAATTGCTATAGTCTGTTCTCAATTTCTGTAGAAATTCCTTCAACACAGTGATGTTGGTTTTCTCCAAGATGTGGTCATTATGAAGTCTCTCTTTCTTGTGGTCATCCATAGTATCTTCCTGTTCCTGAAGGTTTTTCAGTAACATCTCCAGCTCCTCCTTTTCTTTAATAACCTCTGA